AGGCTATGATGATTGTCAAAATTTCTGAGATTAGCAACCTGCAATATCAATTGATATTGCACTGGATGGCTAACAATGATGATATTGACTAGATTCTGAGCCCATTTCACTAATTTTCTAAGTGAGTTTAGCAACCAGGAAATTTTATACATTTCCTATTCATTGTTGGTGCGCGATGGTGTTTCCTGGTTCATTTTGTGACTGGTTGGTGTATAATCTTTTGTGTGGCTGGTTTTATATTCCTGGTTGGTGTATCATGTTCATTGTTGGGTTTTTGGTTGCTTTTGTGCTTGTTTGGAGGATGTTGGTGGGTGTATCTTGTGACTGGTTATGGTTTGGTTATATGGTTGTGAGCTTGGTTTTATATTGCTGGTTGTGAGCTTGGTTGTGGAGCCTGATTGTGAGCCTGTTCAGATTTTGTGGATACTGGTTGTTTGGAGGATGCATTTCTCTGTTTTGTACAGGTATGGAGATCCCTTTTGCTTTCCTTTCTTGGATTTCTTCCTTATTAAAATTATGAAATTCTTGAGAAACTGACAACTTTATTGAAGCAGTCCTTTCATGCACAAGTTAGTTCCTTCGTTCAGATTTCAGGTACCAAAGCAAAACCCCTCTTCCCATTTTATTTTCGATTCATTTTCATGATGTAATTATTAATATGTCATCATATATTTCTTTGCGCATTAAATCAGGTGAACTTTAAATCCTTTTACCACTTTCAAGTAAAAAATAATATTACTCAAGCACAGTTGCAATTCCCGAATACAGTTACTAGAATGTTAAGTTATTAACTATATATAATGCCATTTATGTTTGTGTTTTGTTTGGTTATGACTTGTGAGCACTTGCCGTGATGGTTGCATGATTGGGAAATTCTTGATAGGAAAATCAAGCACACATGTTCCAGAGAGTCACTAGGAGGAGAAGCTGAACGAAGATGCACGAGGGAAGCTGTATGTTAAAGTTCTGATACTTGTTTTAAGATGTTATTTTCTCAGTGGGATGACTTGGAGCTCTTCCCTTCATTGCTGTAAATTTCTTTATGTTGGACTAATTGAAGTATGTTATTTGCCATAGCTGTAATCTGGCTTGAGAGCTTTTAATCGCTAATTGAAGTATGTTATTCGCTATATCTGTTAGTTGCTATTTGTGCTCCTCGTCGAGCTCCTATGGCTGTTTTTGGTTACTATGATGATTCGAGCTTGTTTAGCTCTATGTAGTTGGGTGTTTGGTTGCTATTTATGACTATTCAGGTTGTTTATATGTTTTAATAGGTTTCAGTAGATTTTTTGGGTAATTCAGGTATGTACTACGTAAATTTATGAATAATCAGGTTATTACAGGATTCGTGTGATTTTTTCAATCTCAAACAGGAACATTTGAACTTTTATATGATTAAGATTACCTCATATTAAAAGCACAAAAAAATTTGTATATAGTGGGGGTAATCTTACCATGGTGACTATAAACACTTTTCCCTACAAACTTCAAAACCAACCAAACACAAGAAAAGTAAGAAATGTCATATTAACAAAAGTTTTCCTTTTTTTTCCCTGCGAACCAAACACAAGAAAAGTAAATATATTGGTTTCCCACCATTTTTTATGTGCGAACCAAAGCGAAACAATCAATTTCTTGGAAAAGTATGGAAAACTAAAAACTTGTGTTTCTTTACATGGAATTGCATTTCCCTATATCTAGGAAACGAACCAAACAGCCCCTAATGTGCAAATGTGGCCCCTCATCTAATAAAGTGCAGTTTTTTTTTCAGAATTCTTTCAGTTTGAAAGAGCTTTCAAGTTTGTGCAGATGAACGTTTTTTTAGTAACAAGGGAAACATGGTCAGTCCGCTCAACTTTAACTCCTTTTTTGGAGTCCGCCAGCGGCCCTAGTTCGAATCTCACATCCATCTCACCTCTGCAAGGAGCTACCCTTAATACCAGGGTCTCATCCCCAGCTAACTGAGCGAATAGCGTGGGGGGCGGGCGCGAACTGGTGAGCATACAATGGGTTGAGCAAAGTGACCAGTAAACCCACTGGGTCTCCGTCCCCACCCTTAAACGCAGGGAGACCAGGTGAATTCGACAACGTGAATCGAACCCTTGACCACTAGGAAGATCTCCTTCCCCCATGTGGGCGCTAGCTAGGAGTCCCACCCGCGGGTGGTATGAACGTTTAACACTTTAACTAGGGTAAATACTTTGTTTTATAAAGAGGGGTAGTTGTTATGTAATTTTTTTTAGGTTTGACAGTTTATTATGAAACTCCATAATATTATTTTTTAATTATAAAACACCATTTTGTTTAAAAAATTGTTCAGTCATACTACTAGTATTTAGACCCGTGCAAAACACGGTTTCTAAAAGATTTTCTGTAAATATTGAACATGTTACCAAAATAAAGTATTATGCTTTAGATATGAAGTATAGTGGTGGAAGTGAACCGAATAATTAATAAACAGTTCGGTTATTATTCGTCCAGATATTCGATCAAGTTCGATTCGATAGTTCATTTAGTACTAAACAAATAATTTTCAATGTTTGGCTTATAACTGAATAGAATTTAACCGAAGGTATGTTCGATTCGGCAGTTCATTTACTATTCGATTCAATAACTTTTTAAATAGAATTTAACCAAAGATATGTTGGATAGTTCATTAACTATTCGATATGGTAGTCCTATTATTTAAACTTATTGCAAATATTATTTATATAAATTTTTATTTACAAATTCTACCCATATAAATAGGTAAGAGTGGGTTCGCACTTTTCTCATTTGCTTCTATCAGCCTCCTCCTTCAGATATGACTCCTAAGTAAATCGGCTCCTCTCTCCTCTCTCTCTCTCTCTCTCTCTCTCTCTCCCCCCCTCTCTCTCTCTCTCTCTCTCTCTCTCTCTCTCTCTCTCTCCTCCTTCAGATCCGACTCCAAGTGGATTCTAGGGCTAGGGTTTTCGTTGTTCTTTCTCGAATCTTGTCGTTCACTCCTCCCTCGAAGCTCGTCGTCCCTTGAATCTCGTCGTCGACTCCTCCCTCGAAGCTCGTCATTCCGCGAAGCTCGTCGTCCCTCGAAGATTGTCGTTTACTCCTCCCTCGACTGTCTTCCCTCTCGAGTTATCAAAATGTAAGTTGAAGCTTAAAGTTACTTTACTCCTCCCTCGACTGTCTTCCCTCTCGAGTTATCAAAATGTAAGTTGAAGCTTAAAGTTACCATTATTCTTGATTTTTAATTTATACTAATTGCTAAAGTTACCATTATTCTTGATTTTTAATTTATACTAATTGCTAAAGATTACTTCTTTATGTCTTTTACATATAATTTTGCACAAAATATGATCTCATCCCTTGTGGATCTGTGATTTCAATCAGCTTCATTTAATTATCAGAGGTTTGGTTATAAACTCAGAAAGTGTTGTTTGGTTATAAACTCAATCAGATTGCTAAAATGTTGAAAATGGAGGAGAAATTATATTGCTAAATTGCTGGTAATGGAAAGGAGAAATTACTTCTTTTCATCCACCCTCTGTTACACCACTCTACGTTAATGTGAGATTGGTATTTGTGAGGTTTGTGAGGATTAATACTCTGAAAACGTGGGAAGTTTGGATATGTACAGTTTTTCATTTGAAACGTGGGAAGTTTTTCATTTGAAACGTGGGTCCGTGAAACATGCGAAGTTTTGAAAAATAATCAGTTTTTCAAAAAATCTGATTGGCCCAATGTTGTGTTACTGTTCATCAAAGCTTTTTCATTGTTCTCCTTTAATCAAAAGAAGTAGTAGACTTACATATGTTAGAAATTGAAAGTTACCCCAAGTAGAGACTAAATCCAAAGGGTTGAAAAAATTAATTGATCTTCTATTAATTTTCTCTTTATTAATGACTAAAGTTACTTAGATTTCATGTGAAGAGAGGGGAGATGAATTTACAAAAGTTTGAGAAAGAAGAGGAGCTTTATTGAGGAGTATTTTAGTAAAAAAAAGCAGAAAGTAGATTATTTTGAACAGTTTTTAAACAAAAAATATTTTATAATGAAAAAAGTAATATTAAATGTTTCATAATAAACTATCTAACCAACTGCTCTCAATTTGCGGGGGAAAACATAACCTTCAAAATTATAGTCATTATCTAATTTAAATAAATAAGCATTTCCATTTTACAGTATTTTTAGTGAAGCGAGTCTGCTCTTTTAGAATAATAAGCAATCTCGTTTCAAGTTTTATTTACTTTATTTTTTTAGAATGATAATAATTACACTACTCTCTTCTTTACTATTTCTACACTGAAGAGAAGCGTGGGCTTTCTTGATGAATTATTAAATTTAAAAATGGTTGAAAATAATGAACTTCATATTTTTCTTTATTGTAGTGTAGGAATAGTACTATAGTTATCACAACTCTTTTTTTTAAGTTACTGATTACTACATCTGTATGTTTGTCGTCTTACATTTTCTTTCAAATTCATTCTTTACTATCAGAGAATAAAGCTTCATATTTTATTTATTGCACGGAGTAAAAATTTTCATTATTTTGATGATGTCTACAATAAGGATATTGCGAGAAATGCATTTTTACGTCAGTACAATATTTAGTTGGAAATCAATTAGTGTGAAAGGAACATAGTTTTTTCATATAAAGAATATGGGTTAGATAATTTTGCAATTTAGATTAGAAAAGTTCTTCTAGATGAAGTGAAATTATTTTATTTGTAATTTTATTTTTTGAAAACTGCAAATTTTGGTCGCGTGAAATTAGCTACAACATATGGCACATTTTTTTTATACAAATTATAAGTTCATTTACATTCCCAAATTAAATATTTTAAACCAAAAAATTGAAATTATAATCCGATTGTGTAGTTACATATGAAGCTTTGTTTCATCTCGTATAAGAAAAAGAAAATAGGGGTTTTCGATTTTAGATCCTTTAATCTTTAGTAGTATTACTGTATTAGTCCTTCCATGTTCATATTTTGCTATTTAGACCCCAAAATCTGAATTAGAATTTAATATTTGTAAATGTAGTACATCTGATCTCGCTTGAGGACCCTAAGCCCCCACTCCTTAATATCCCCCGCGAGGCACCACACCGCGGCCGTAAACGATGATCGTCTGCGTCGCCGTCGTCGGCCATCAGGTAAGCTTCCAGATCTCACTTTGCATCGCTCTTCCTCCGTCAAATCTGACGGTTGTTATCTCTCCGTTTTCGCAGAACAATCCACTGTACCTGCAGAGCTTCACCGAGGCGGACGATGCCCTAAAGCTCCACCACATCGTCCACTGCTCTCTGGATGTCGTCGACGAGAGAGGTTGTCTCAATTTGCAAATTTTCAAAAACTTTTGGATTAATTTTGCAATTTTCAATTTTTCAAGATTTGGGCTGATTGGTGTGATTTCATATTGTTTAAGTTGACCCTAATATATTGAATCTAATAGTTATGTAGTTTTTTGGTTGGGGGATGATGATTGCATGAGATTGAGTAGTTTGTTTGGCCTAATTGTTGATCGATTTTAAACTAACTAGAACAACTGAACTCACTTTGAAATCATTGCTCACTTGGTATAACAACCCAAGCGCAAAATGCTCCTCATTAACTTTGCTTTACTGACGATGGTTATACAAAGCCATTGATAATGCTCATCCTATGTTATGTGAAGAAATTTGAAGACGGAGAAGAAGATGGGAAAGATTCTTTAGGGTTCCCATTTTGCAGTGAAAATTCCATGGTTTTAGCCATCAATTTAAAGGGCTCACCCTGCAACCATCCACACTTTAGATCCCCCTCAATTTCCACGAAATCAACAGTTGAGTAATTTTCTCAACAATCCTAGATATTCTCTATCTATTACCACTTCCTGATTTTATGAGATAGTGGGCCATTTTTTTTAGGCCAAAACTACATCTCTCACTTGTCCAAAACAAAATATATTTCTAGTATGCTCCCACTATTCATGTGATATACAAAATTCTATTCATGCTTCTATTATTCATGGGGTATGAATGTCGCTTTAACTTCCTGACTTACACATTCCTAAGTCCTATTAAACCTACATGTTTAATGAACATATCCGATGAAATTCCCTTTATCAAGGGATTAGCTATCATATCACTTGTAGGAATGTAAGTCACCTTAATTTCTTGCCTTTTCACAAGATTTTGAATATAAAGATATTGTATCTCAATTTGTCTTCCTTTTGAACTATTTGAACCACTGTCTATTAGGCTTATAACGGCTTTATTATCACAAAAAATCTCTATTAGTCCATTCACCAAATTTAGATTCAGGTCATTTACAAATCGCCTAATCCAAACTGCGTGAGTAGTAGCTATGTTGCAAGCTATGTACTCAGCTTCTTGTGTGTATCTGGCTACACACCCCTGTTTTTTGCTTCCTCAAGAAACAGCTCCGCCACCATAGATAAACAAGTGTCCCGAAGTGGACTTTTCATTATCTTTATCTCCTGCGAAGTTGACATCGGAGTAACCACGAACCTCAAGCATTTCAGCTTGATAAAATAATTTGTGGCGTATTGTACCTTTAATATACTTCATAATCCTCTTAACAACTTTCTAGTGTCTCGGTTCAGGATTACTCTGGTATCTGCTAACTAAACTCACTGGATATGCCAGATCTAGTCTAGCACACAGCATTGCCTACATCAAGCTTCTCACAGCTTGAGCATACAGAACATTAAGAGATTTTTGTCCTTCTCCGGGACATTGCTCTTTACTCATAGACATTTCTCCAAGACCGACAGTGTTGGTGTCGGATTGCAATTTTGCGTTCCAAACCATTTAAGAACTAAATGCAAGTATTTCTCTTAGTTTAAACTCAGCATTCTAGATTTTATATCCCTTAGGACTTGAATCCTAAGGACATAGGATGCTTCTCACATGTCTTTCATCTCAATTTTTTTATTAAGATCATGTTTGATCTTATTCAACATTTCTACATCATTTCCAACAAGTAATATATCATCAACATATAAGGATATTATAAAAAACTTGCTCCCATTGTTCAAAACATACACAACTGTCTAATCTATTTGCAATGAAACCAAATTGAACGATAGTGTTATGAAATTTGAGATACCATTATCTAAATGATTGTTTTAAACCATATAAAGACTTCTTTAATTTATATACCTTATTTTCTTGTCCTTTGACTTGAAAACCTTCAGGTTGATTCAAGTATATGACTTCTCTCAACTCTTCAGTGAGGAATGTTGTCTTAACATCCATTTGAAAAAATTCTAAATAAAAATGGTAATAATAGCTAAAATAATTCTTGTGGATGCAAATTTCGCTACTGGAGAGTAAGTCCCTTGATAACATACACCCTCTTTTTGGGTAAAACCTTTAGCAACTAGCCGGGCCTTAAATTTATCAATAGATCCGTCAGCATGATTTTTTTCAACACTCATTTGCATCCTATGGACTTTCTCTTTTCGGATAAGTCGCATAACTCCCGTACTTGATTTTTCTCAATGGAGTCAATCTCTTCTCACATAGCTTCGGGCCATAAATGTGATTTATATGAATTCATTGCATCATTATATTTCAGAAGATCAATCTGATAATCAATATTATAATCCACTGAAAAACATGATGTATGACATGAATATAAATAATAATCATCCATCCAGGCAGGTTGAGTTCTAGGTCTTTTATTGCTGATTAGATTTTTATGTTGCACATCATTGTTTACATCATTTTCCACAAGTATTTGCTGATGTACGAGTTCATTTTTCATGATTGGATGATCAAAGTCATCTATTTCAATAGGGTTATCATTGAAAACATCATCAAATGCAAGTGGAGGAGGAGGTTCTTCTTGCACTTGTTTGCATCCCTCTAGATTTTCTAAAAAAAATAGCATCTCTAATTTCAATGACCCATTTTACCTCATGGAAAAATCTATATCCTTTGGATTTTTTCAAATATCCTATGAACGTGCATTTTATAATTTGAAAATCTAACTTGTCTCTAACATGTCTTGGGATGAGGATGTGAGCTGTGCAACCCCATTTTCTTAGTGACTTAGGGAGGATTTATATCTATACCAAAATTTAAATGGCATCAAAGAAGTTGATTTTGTGGAAATTGTATTTAAAACGTAATTCGCAATTTAAACTGCTTCTTCCCAAAAAGCTTTGGGGAATCTAGAATGAAACAACATACACCTTACTGCATTCATCAATGTTCTATTTTTTCTTTTAGTCACACCATTTTGTTGTGGTACGTAAGGCATTGTTGTGTGTCTTTTAATTCCACATTGAATGCAATAGTTGTCAAATTCTTTTGAATTGAATTCACCACCTCTATCAGTTATGAATCTCCTAAGAGTTCTTTCTTTATATCTTTTAAAACATTCAAAAGCCTCAGACTTTTTATTCAAGAGATAAACAAAAGTGAATTTTGAGTAGTCATCTATAAATGTAATGAAATATTCCTTATTACTATGGGTCCTTACACTTAATGGCTCACAAATGTCTGAATGAATTAATTCTAACGACTCTTTTGCCCTTTGACCCTTTGTAAATGACTTTCTAGTCATTTTTCTGGTCAAACAATGTTCACAGGGTGATGTTCCCACACCTGTCAGAGTTGGTAACATGTTCATTTTAATAATTTCATCCATTTTAAAATTACCAGGATGAACCAATTTAATGTGTCAAAGATCAAAATCAGACAATAAACACAAGGAATAATTCAAAACATCATTTTTATTAATCAAATTGGATTTCACAACAGGAAGACAAAACAATTCATGTTTTGGCATTAATTTACCCATCACATACACCTTTTTATCCTTTACGATTAAGATCCTATTATTATAAAACCTAATCTAACAGATCATTCTTCAACATAGCAGAAACTGACACCAAGTTCCTGACACCAAGTTGCGCCTTATGCCAGGTGCATAAAACACATCTTTTAGAACCATGACACTGTCTTCCAGGTCTAATTTGTAGAAACTAATACCTTCTACATCTAGATAGGTATTATTCCCCATGTAAATGCATTGTTCTCTTTTCTTCGTCTCTTTAAAGTGAATTGGTCCCTCCTTAGTATTTGCAATGTGTCGAGTGGCACCGGAGTCAACCCACCAGCCATCTATGTCAGTTGTTGCAGCATTGCACTGAACTACACAGATAAATTCCCTCTTGCTAGATCCTATCTTTTCTGGGTTTTTAATCATCCTTATTTTTCTCTTGTTGATAGCTTGCCTTGAAGTGACTAAACTTTCCACAAGTATGACGGGATCTAGGGGGCTTTTTCTTGGGATAAGGTTGAGCTCAGGGGGTCCTTTAAAGATTGGTTTGTTTGGTCTCATCTAATGATTCCTTTGCGTCCAATGTGCATTTTTATGTTGCACAGCTTTTGATTCTTCAACTTGCACAAGATTCACATCCATGTCCTTCTTGCTGGTTAGAATGTTTTGTTCCATTGCTAACTGAGCCGGTAAGTCTGGGACCTTTTTGATGGTCTCATTCAATCTTAGAGTGGTGGCAGCCATATCGAACGAAGGTGATAAACTATTCAAAATAGTTGCCACCTGCATCTTCTCAGGAACTTCAGAACCTGCACATGCCAAATCTTTTGTCATGACTATCATCTTGTTGACGTGCTTCATGATGCTATCAACTTCTTGCATCCGGTATGTATTATAATACCTATGCAATAATAACTGTATTTTCACCTCAGATGTGGTGTCATACTTATCCTTGATAGCCTTCCACATTTCATGTGCGGTCTTATAGGTTTCAAAAACCTTTATAAGATCGTCTTCCGTGAACATCAATATTAGGCTTTTTACCTTCTTGTCCTTAAGATGCCACTGCTCAAATTCTTTTTTCTGAATTTCAGTAGCATCTTCATTCAGAATTGGAGCATTGGTCTACATTGTCATGAATCAAGCTGTACTTGATTTTTGGGTGCCACATGTCATAGTTCGCCCCATTGAACCGTTCAATTTTCGAAAGCTCAGAAGCAACCAATTTGCTAGCCATTTTCTGATTAAAAAAACAAAGATTGATATAATTCACAAATAAAATATAATAATATGCTATATTAAAAAAATGTTAAAGAAAACTGCAAGATGATATGCAACAAACAAAAGAATAAAGTGCAGGTGAACAAACATAAAGCAATCCTATACACAACAGATAAACAACATGTCTATAGAAATGTGCAGGTGAACAAACATAAACTAGTCCTATTAGTATTAAAATAAATAAAAAAAACTAACAAGAAGTACGAGCTAGAAGATGAATATGTAGTTGGACAAACAAATAACGATTAAAATACAATAAAATGAAATCCAACAACATCTATCACATGAATAAAATAAAAATTGATTTGATAACACTGCTTCAACTCATCTCATTATGGCATGTTCATAGGGTGGGGGGGGGGAATCATTCTATTAGTCAAGAAGCACTTATTGCAAGGGGGGGGGGGGGGGGGGGGGAATCATTCTATTAGTCAAGAAGCACTTATTGCAAGTACTTATGTAGAGATTATAAAAATTACTTTAAAGAGAAACCTTATCTATATTACCCTGTATACCTGCCCAACTTGCACCGAACAGGGAGAGGGAGGAAAAAAAACCAGGTCGGTCTAGAAATTTTGAGGATGGAGGAAAGATGATGGCGACAAGTTTGTAAAGCGTCAGCCCACCATTGAGGTCGTCCTTTCTCTGATACCAATGAAGAAATTTGAAGAGGGGGAAGAAGATGAGAGAGATTCTTTAGGGTTCCCGTTTTGCAGTGAAAATTCCATGGGTTCTAGTCATCAATTTAAATAGCTCACCCTACAACCGTCCACCCTTTATATCCGCCCTCAATTCCCATGAAATTAGTAGTGGAGTTATTTTCTCAACAATCCCAGATATTCTCTATCTGTTACAACTTCTTCCTAATTTTATGAGATAGTGGGCCATTTTGTTGAGGCCAAAACTAACAAAACCCACCGTTAATCGAAAGTGCTCGTTCTGATTTGATTTGGAACATGGGTAATAAGAAATGAGTTTAACCCACTTCGTTCCTTTCATTAGCATTTTGTCTCCTTTCCTCTACCAAGTATAGTTGTAAATTGTAATAGAATCTATGTTATATGATAGTCATACCATTCTCGAACTATAACTTTTCCCTTTTTTTTAATATATATGTGTCATTTATGTGTAACTTATGATGTTGGAATAAGGTCGGTGAAATACGTAAAGTAGCAATTTTGATTTGGGGGCTCATTTGATACTAAGCCCTTACTAGTTTAGTGTATAAAAGTCATTTATAATTTTGATTTGGAGGCTCATTTGATACTAAGCCCTTATGAGTTTAGTGTATAAAAGTCATTTATAATTTTGATTTGGAGGCTCATTTGATACTAAGCCCTGATGAGTTTAGTGTATAAAAGTCATTTACATGGTATATACCCTCAGAAACTAGATTTATTGATTGCTCTTGAAATTGAGGGAGGTCATTTGATTTATGTCAAAACATGAAGGGGGATATAGTGAATTTAGTTTATAAAAGTTGTTTAATTTATGTCAAAACTTGAAGGCGGTGTACTGAATTTAGTGATAAAAGTTATTATACAGTTTTACACATTCAGAAAACTAGGTTTCTTGATTGCTTTTGAAATTGAGGGAGGTGACTTGATTTTAGTGAAAACCTGAAGGGGGTATAGTGCAATTTTTCCTATATTTTTACTGCATGAACTTTATGACTGGGGTTTGAGTTGACTATTTGATGTATATATGGATACCAATTTGAGGTATAGGTGTATTGATGATTAGTTCAGTGTCAACAAGAGAAGAAGAATTCATGTACATGTATCAACCTGTAGGATTACGGTATTTCTTTCTCGTTTGCAGTGATTTGTTCATTCTTTAATCTTGCTTTAGCAACTTTACATTTGGTAGAATTCAGTTGATGGAAAAGTTTGACATGTTCATTCCACAGAATTGTACATTAGATTTTAAAGTAGTATGGCTGGGGTTCTCATGTAACCTATATCCGAGGTAGACTCCCCAGTAGAGGACCCATCCTCCCTCCCACGCTTCCTCCCTCTTAAGGAAAATAAAATAAAAGTTGTACATGAGATTTTCACGTCACAAAACTCATTAAGTATTTCAAAGTAATTGAACCCTTTCCTTGACAATCCCTTATATTTTCCACTTTGCCTCAGAAGAACCATAATTTTGTTAATAATTAAACTTTTTTCTCTTTCCAAAGCTTCAAATACTAGAAGTTCTTGCATTCATATAAGACTGTTGGTTTAGTTGAGATGTACACTGCAAACTGTGGGTTACGAGCATAAGGTTTTCCTCAAACTATTTATTTTCATCAGAATTTCTCTTGTTGTAATATGTAGGTTTTTAACTAATCTATTTCGTGTTTTTTACAGTTAATAATCCAAGGAAAAGTGGTCCAACTCTGAATGAGACGTTTCTTGGTCTTCTATATCCTACAGAGAACTACAAAGTGTAAGCATTCTGTGTATTGTTTTATTCAACTATGAACAACTTATGCTCTTTTATGTAAAAAAAAAAGAATGCAAGAAATTGTGTAATGTTGTGAACTAATTGCAATGCACCTTGCAGGTACGGTTATTTGACTAATACCAAGGTGAAGTTCATTCTGGTCACAACTGATCTGGATGTCAAAGATGTAGATGTTAGAAATGTAAGTTCTCGATATAATTTAGTTTCATTCTTACAATATCGTCATACCTGGAAGTGTTATTCTATACAGGATGTTTTAGTTTGCAGTTAGAAGTTCCATGAATCTACGCTTTAGTTGACGTTTTCCGTTTTGTGTTTGCTTTGAACAATTTAAGATTTTACATTGATCCTAAGAACTCAAGGGGAAAAAAATTGTATCATCAAACTAAACTAGGAACTCACTAGTCATGTATGAACTATGAAGTTACATGAATCTCTGCAAAAGCTTCTGCACTGTCCTGAATCCTATGATACCGAACTGCACTCAGGATATGGTTAGGTTTTTGCGTGGAATAATGAAAATAATCTGCATATTAGATTTGGCCAAACCTGAAATATATTGCAAGTTCTTTTTGTTCCCTTTCCCCCTATTTTTTCTCATCGGTAAGTTTTGTTTGATGTAGAAGGATCATAATTACCATTCAGTTATATATTCCAATACATTATGTCATAGATTGTGTTGTTAATGGTGCATTGATGCACACTATTGTGGATTTCAATGGAATATTAGTAATAAAAAAATGTGATGGTCAACTTTCAATCTCTTGTTTATTCGAACTCCTCTGGGTAATTGACATCCATGTACTCATGAATTTCTGAGTCTGACTAATGGCCTGTTTGCCTGCATGGAAGTAGCTATGAAGTAGGTGAAGTAGATGAAATAGGCGCCATTTCTGCTACTTCTAAGAAAAAAAGTATTGTTTCTCTAAAAAAGCTACTTCCGGTACTTCCTAGAAGCTGACGTGGCGCCTACATGTCATATCTACTTCTTGAATCTTTTCCTCCCTTCAAGTCTCGGAAGTACCTCGGAACTAGATGAAATTGATTCAATTTAGGAATAAAATCATTCTTGTTATTATATAAATATTCTCATACTCTAAATAAAATCCCGAAAGATCATCTTTCTCTCTTCCTAACAATATTTGTAATTGTTACCAAACAAAAAAAGTTAATGAAGTGGAAGAAACACTATTTCCTCTACTTTCAAAAATTTACAAAAACAAACAAAAAAGTAGTACTTCCGCTACTTCCTACTTCATTATTTAAGAAATAATAGATTTGGTTTACTTCTAATACTTCCTATCAACCGAACAGCTTCTATCAACCAAACAGGCCCTAACTGAACTTTGAAAAGAAGAAAGCCTGATTACACTGGTTAGGTGCAAGCAAGGTTGACGTCATAGATGTTGCGTCAATACCTGAGACATAGTTACTTGTTTTTTCTTGAGAGATCCACAGTTAAGATATGATATTTAATCTTGTTATTTGATTTTCATCAACATGTTGTGGTTATTCCCCCAAAAAAAATCCATTTATTAGATCAGTGACTTTAAAAAAGAGTTAAATACTTAAAAAAGTGTTAGACTAGGCTGCACTGTTATGAGCAGCGAGTGAGGTGAAATACTTGAGACATAGTTACTTGTTTTTTTCTTGAGAGACCCACAATTAAAATGCTTAAACATGCTATTTAATATTGTCATTTTATTGTCATCAACATGTTCTGGTTCTTCCCGGGGGGGGGGGGGGGGGACTCCATTTATCAGATCAGTGACATTCAAATAGTTAAACTAGCTGCAATGTTATGAGCAGCGAGTGAGGTGAACTATATATTAATGTATTATACGAGTTGACATAATATATGTAGAAACAATACAAAAAGATTGTATTGGATGAGAAATAAGAATCTTGACTGCTTCATTTTCTTTAATTACCAGCAAGACTTAACGGTACATTTGTTAATGATTCTCGCTTTTTCTTCAAGTTGTTTCATCATTTAATAGCCCCCTGTGTGCAGTTTTTCAGGAGGTTTCACTCTGCATATGTGGATGCTGTCTCAAACCCTTTCCATGTCCCGGGGAAAAAGATAACCTCTAAAACCTTTGCGCGAAGAGTCAGTGGTATTGTCAGGGCTTTTGGTTCTAGCACGCCCTCATGAATTGTGTTTCTATTGTATAATCTTAGTCATTGTCCTTTCAGCATAATTTGATCTTTCGTATAGAGGACTTGGTGATTTTCTTCCAAATTGAATGATATTTGATAATGTGGAACTTGATGTGTGTACTGAACTGATGGTATATTCTCTATAGTATTTGATTTGGAATTGCTGCAACTGTGTTAAACTGCAGTTACTTGGATTATGGCTTGTTTTTCATTCATCTCATTGAGCGCGCGCACAAAAGAAAAAGGTCTGGAAACAGATTGCCTGGCCGTTTTACGGTATAACTTTAGATATAGTCAAATGTCAAACCGTCGGTTTGCCTCTTTAAGTTAAATCTTAAGCATACAAAACTCTAACCATCCATCCATCCATAAAGTAATTAGTAAAAACTTAAACAGAATCATCTTCAACTATTATTATACAAGTAAACGTTTCAATCAAGTACTAAATTTCCATGAAAAATATTTTCCATAATCAAGTTCATGCAGCAGCAACACTTGGGTGTATTAAATTGGAGAAAAATTCTCTCAGTGCCTACAGATCAACATCAATCTAACTGCATCCTGCACATCTAATGAAAATTCAGCATGCTTCATTAAGCTGGTTACTCTTCGATCACATGGAAAAAAAAATGCATAAACACCAAAGACAAGAAAATAATCACCACTCAATCGAATAAAATATAACTTAAAAAGTTGTGACAAAAACATTACTCAAACCCACATAAGTTTATTAAATACCACAATTAAAGCACTAAAAGACCCAAGTCCAGCGGCAGCAGATAATTTAGGTAACATAACATTAGACTACAATCTCCTTTTGGAGTTCTGAAAAGAACAGGCTCTAGCACTTGATCTCCTTCAGCCCGTGGGCAAAGTACAAAAAGGTAGGATCACTGGCGCCTTCCTTGTAGTATGCAAAGACCAAGCTACCGTCATCATGCATGCTCTCACCCACAAAGCTGCACAGCGAACAAAAACAAAGGAAATAATATACTTCGATAGAGAGGAATATGACGAATGAGCTTTGAATTGAAGCAAAATGCTTGATCATTTAGCATATGGTGGCAGTGTGGTACTACTCTCTTACAGTGACTACTTGTTTCCTAAAAACCAGATAATGAAGCTATTATGAGAAGTATGAAAAGTATGCAAAGCACTCCTCAGATGTTCCCAAGGTTATTGATAGCAGATCGCGTCGCGTCGCGGCGAGGTACCGCTAAGGCTATTGCGCGCTATTGCGGCGAAATAGCGGCAAATAGCGCACAGTCAAATAGCGGACAAATTTAAATATATTTAAATATCCTAAATAATAAGAAAATTCATAAAAAAATCTAAAAATTCTACAAATGCATACTTAATGCCTAAACATGAAGTAGATGTGTACAAGAACAAGAACAAATAACAAGAACAAATAAATAAACAATAACAATATAAGTACTATAACGGTAGAACTTTATTTCTTCAACTCTTTATTCATACATAACAATATAAAGTACTATAACAGTAGAACTTTATTTCTTCAACTCTTTATTCATACAATAAATAAACATGTTATATTTCTTCATTCATTCAATAACTCAATAAGTTATAAATTTATAATGATTTGATTGATTTCAAATGTTGATTATACAGGTTTTCTGGAAGTTGGAAATCTCAAGGGCACTAATCATTTCGGTGCAGCTGCTGGTTATGAAGATCAACCCGTTTATCGCATACATATTAATTTGTTGTAAATTTCTTGTATTATTAGTAAATAACAATTGATAAGCTTGTTGTATGAGTATGAATGAAACTATGAAAAAAATCAAGAAATATAGCATCATTGATTCTCGAAATACTGCAGTCCTGAACGTGATGGAAACACCATTTATGGAATACATATTAATTTGTTGTAAATTATTTCACGTATATTTTCATGTAATCATGTGATTAAAGGTTAAACATCTGTAAATATCAAACAAGAGTCCAAGACAGGTGTGCTAACGTGCCATGTCTAATAAAGATGGAAACACCATTTATTATTGACCTTCTTCAGAGTTATTCTTGTTTATTATCTAATATAGGTAAAGGAACAGAAAAATTAGTTATGCAACTATGCAAGTTGGAGAAAGCAATTCAGGCACAAAAGGAATGTGAGATGAGGTAGGAATTCCCAAAATTTGGACCTAGTCCCATAATTTTATACATTTTCCTCTGTGGCAGATCTAGCCAACAGAGATGGACGCCGGAGCCTGGAGCCTGGAGTGGAGATGATGACGTCGATGGACTCCGGAGCCTGGAGCCTGTAGCGGAGATGATGATGTCGCTGGAGCCTGGAGCCTACAGCGAAGATGATGATGTCGAAGGAGCCTAGAGCGGAGAAGATGGGAGCGGAGCTGCGGAGTGCGAAGATGATGAAGTCGAACCGTCGAAGGAGCCTGGAGCGGAGAAGATGGGAGCGGAGCTGCGGAGTGCGGAGATGATGAAGTCGAACTGTCGAAGGAGCTGGAGCGGAGAAGATGAAAGGCGGCTAGGGTTCGGGAGTGAACTGAGGGATTCGTCGCTTTTTTAGCCTCTTTTAACAAGCGGGTTCGGGTTCGGGTCGGGTTTGGGGCAAAAAAATCAAAACACATTTGATAGCGGGTTAGCGGTTTTAGCGGGTTTGGCCGCTTTTATCCGCTTTTGGCCGCTTTTATCCGCTATTGAGCGCTTTTACGCGCTATTCGAGCGCTTCGCGGTTTTTTCCGCTAAATCCCGCCGCGAACCCCCTACGCGTAGCGCTGAGGGGCCGCGATCCGCTATAGCCCCGCTATTGCCCCGCTATTGGCCGCTATTTACAACACTGGATG